AGTTGTCTGAAGCGCCGTGTGGTCGGACCGGGGCTGATTGCATTTGCTGTGTGCGGCCTCACAGAATTCAGAAGCTGCAGAGGTAGATAGAATCCCTCCTAAAAGAGTCGGTTGTTTAAGGATTTGAATAAATACACATTACAGGGAACTGTGGCTAGTTCAAACAGAGCCTTTACGTTAACTCTGATTTTAAGCTGGGTTTCTTATTTATATTCTTTACCCTGAGGATCAATGCCTGGGTCTCTAAAAAAGTATTTTGGAAATTTGTGTATTGGTTAGCTTTGGCTTGTATCAGCCGGAGATTTCGACTCATCTCCAGTGGACTTATAATTATTTGGGTTAATTGGACCGAGTTGTATCACTCATGGAAAAAGGACTAATAGCAGGTTAATTGGACCGAGTTGTATCACTCATGGAAAATACAGGACTAATAGCAGGTTGGATCACCTTTCTCTGGCATCCTTAATTGAGTTCCTAGTAGTATAAAGGACTAAGATAAATTAATTAATTAATTGGACCGAGTTGTATCACTCGTGGAAAATAAAGGACTAATAGCAGGCTGGATCACCTTTCTCTGGCATCCTTAATCGAGTTGCTAGTAGTATAAAGGACTAAGATAAATTACTTAATTTAATACGGGTTCAATCGCTCTCTCCGTTGGGACAAAACTTTTGTCACTGGGCGGATTGATTGATCGAATAAACTAAATTGAGGCTTATTTTTGCCTCGAGCTTGACCCAGCTCTGAAGTGAGAGACTGAGATTGATGCATCATATATATTTTTGTAGCCGGCGCCTAATTTTTATTTTTTATTTTTATTTCTTCTCTGTCTTTTACGCTTGTCTGACACTGTGTTTTGTGTTTTCTGTATTTCTATGTATGTTGCAATGTTTGGGACTGCTGCCGTGGTGTGTGGTATCTGAATCTGCAGAGCTCTGTGTGTGTGTGTGTGTGTGTGTGTGTGTGTGTCTGTGAGCGGATTACTGAGTGGAACGCTGAAAACCGCTGTTTGTGCTGATTTGAGTTGATTTTTGCTGCGTTTTTATTGTAACGACAGGATGGACACCGAGTTGCAAAAAGATGTTATTGGCCATTCCTATGGTCTAGGTCCGTGGAAAACTCTGCGGGAACAGATTGATGACTTAATTAGTATTTATGATCAGCAGCTTGGTCTGGATTTGCTTAATCTGAAGGCGGATGATTTGAAAATCATGTTGGAAAATGTGGTTCGCAAACAGGACGAACTTCTTACTGCGGCAAAGCCTTTGGGTTTGATTTTGAATGATTGTTTAAAACAAGCCTTAGCTGACAGGGATGCAGTGTGATTACAGAAGGATGAAGCTAGTTTGTTTGGCAGGAAAAGACTAATTAAAAAGCTAGAGAACGCAGAACAGGATAGACAGTTGTGGGCTAACCTTCTGGTGGGTTGGCAGGGAACGGATCACCTTTATAAAAAGGGGTCAGTTACACAGACTTCGGACTCATTTCACGCTCAGGTACATCGTCCAGAGGTGTGCTCTGAACAACCTAAACAGATACTTAGTCCATCTGATGCTCCACTCCCACCTCCATATAATAATACCAATCCCTTTTACACGGGATTGTATCCAGTTTTGGATGTTCGTATGGGTACGGCAGAATGGGATCTTGTGAGAGCTCCTCCTCCGATTGTTTCTGGTGCTCCACCGGTAACCGAGGCTCCCGAGTTAACGACCTTATCCCCAGCATCCCTTATACATTTTCGCTCTGTTTCTGATAGTCTTCCTATGGCAGATCGAGTCCAGCGTGAAAAACTCTGTTTTTCCCTGCCTCCTTCTGCGACTTCACCAAGTATGACTCAAATTACACATCAACAGTGCAGCACCGCCCCCGCCTTAGCCCCTTCCTCCCAGGAGGAGGAGCAGGGGGAGGTACAACTGAGCATGGATATGAAACTGGTGGGACGTCTTGGAGAGGAAGCTCTGCCTTCTCGAGGACACTTCTCATCTTTTCAACCACACGTGAGAGGCGCTGTGAGGTTTACCTCCACCCCAAGGTTGCATGGTGATGGGACCAATCTAATTGATATGCAGAGTAGGGAGACTAGTCCCTCCTCTGGTGACATTGACACACCTCAGTTTGTGGTTGCCCCCTCTGGCGTAGATTCGTTTCATGAGCGCCTTTTGCAAATGGAAGAGAGTCTGCGGCATGATATTGATGATTTGACCACAT